AAACAATACATTTAAGTTAGGACACAAATGCATGATTGATACTCCCCAAATAATAATAAACCAGTCTGTCTCAAAGCAGTTTTAAAGTTGCAATATTTTAAAAGAAATGATTGCTAAGCATTCAAAATATAATCAGCTTAATAAAGAGGTTTATGGTTTAGGAAAAGTAAAGGCAAACATGAGAGAATGATAACCATCTATTCTTATATAATGTATAACTTCCAATAACATAATCAGTAGCAATTCTTTAAAAATAATACAAGCATTAACATTTCAAATAACTTAGCTGCCTCCTTTCACTATCCAGGTCTGCAGCTTTGAAAATAATACTTAAGGCATTTAATTCATCCAACCATCTGTCCAGTCAGTCAATCAATCATCTAGAGAAGATGCCAATAGCAAATGACTACCCAGATTTGGCAAATCCACCTGGCCACTTTGGGAGAGTGATAGCCATTTGCAAATAGGTAAAGCTTCTGTATACTGACTATACCATGTGTAAATGCCAGCAAGAGGTTATTCCTCACAGTCCAAATAGCTATACATATTCTATTGACATTAAAGCATCTGTAATTCAAGTGGGTCAACACAAAAAGATTTTACATTTATTACCTGCTTTATCTTCCTGTCTGAATCTGTGAAGTCTGTAGTTTCAGCTGCCCCCAAATCAGATTTAAAGCTGTAATAATTCAAAATGATTGTTAATCCTGCAAAATATAAACACGGTGATAACAAGCTTTACTAGACAAAATAAACCCAAAGATAACAAAATGAGATCCATCTATTCTTTGAATATGTATAACTTCAGATTATATTAGGAAATACATATAATTTGGATTAGGTGTGCTTCTTTTTCCTTTTTTGAACCGCAGATTTCAGGTAGACAGAATGGGATCTATTTCCCTACTTGACAAGTTCTACCACAGATTCAGTCCCTTAGATCTTTGATTAAATGTATGTACCCATCTGATGTTATTGTACTCTTATCCATACCCAAACAAAAACATTACATCTTTTTGTTTTTGTTTTGTTTTGAATTGGTATCTCACTCTGTTGCCCAGGCTGGAGTGCAGGGGTGTGATCATGGCTCATTGCAGCCTTGACCTCCCTGGCTCAGGTTATTGTTCTGCCTCAGCCTCCCATGTAGGTAGGACTACAGGAGCACCACCACGCCCAGCTAATATTTTGATTTTTTGTAGAGATGGGATCTTGCTATGTTGCCCAGGATGATCTCGACCTCCTGGGCTCAAGCAATCCTCCTTCTGTCTTCCAAAGTACTGGGATTATAGGCATGAGCCATCATGCCTGGCCTAAAAAAATCTTAAATTGCTTTTTATTTTCTAACATAACTAAAGTCTAGTGCCAGATAAATTATTTGTTTATGTAGCACTAGAAAAAGAAAGTCACAATCACAAATTTACTAACTCTCAACACTTTACAAGATTGATTTGTTTCTTTAATCATTTGGCAAACTTTTATTGCATATTCACAGTGTGCCAGGCACTATTGTATTTGAAAACATTATTGGGGCAAATTATATTTAATTTCCAGAAATTGACTCACTTGTTTAAATTATTCCTGGCAGTCACTACTGTGTAAGACATGCCTGAGTATCTGCAGGGAGGGGAGCGTGGGGCAGATGCTGAAGGGTTGGTTTTCTTCCTTCACAGCCCACTGTGTAGCCACTCTGCATGAGTCAGCATGCATGCTTACACAAATACTGTCTAGGGACACATTTAAAAATCATCTGAAAGCAGAATATGAACGTCCTAGAACCATGTTTAATAAATTATGAAATAACACACTAAAATATGTAACATTCATATTCAGGAGGAGCTTACATGTTTAATTGCTATTTATTTTTTAACAATTACTCTGATAGTTCTAGTGATACATGAAAAAGGAAAAGTCACAGTGGCCAGTGACCTCACTCCAATCAAAAGGCACTCTCAGACCTCATGTCTGGCATATAAGATACACCATAAACACTATTAATCAATCAGTCAGTCACTTTTCATTTACTTTCCTGAAGGATTTACTGTTGGGTGTTGATGTGCATACCTGCTTACTTCAGTCTGGGTTTCAACCTCTATCTGTTGGTCTGTAAAATCCTTTTTTCTCTTGGCGGGTGTATAATATCGATACTGGGACAGGAAGGATTTGGCTTCTGTTTTTAAGGTGCGCGGAGTGAATGGCAACTGTCTGTTAGAAAAGCGTTCGGAATGTTTATCCAAGAGGTCCCCGCTGGATGCTTTGGAAATGACTAGCTGAAACCTGTGGGAGCTCAGGAACGCACTTCTGGACCTTTGGCCATTTGGGGCCCCAGAGCCAGTCCTCCTGGGCCTTGAGGCTGTGAAGTCTGCGCTGGACAGGGAGTGACTGGAGTTCTTCCCAGTCCCATTTGTGAGGACTGGATTGGATTTGGGCAGATGCAGGTATAGTCTCTCTGAAGAAGGTGCCAGAGACCTCGCAAAGGATGGAAATCCATTCATTTCTTCTATTAACACATCATCCTCCACTTGTGGCTCCCCTGAGGGCTAAGAACATTGATTTGACAGTCACCTGCTGCATTACTAATTTATAAAACTGGGGATCTCCAGATTACACATTAAAAAATAATTGCCTCGGGGGTTTATAAAATTAATTTATATGCTCCTGAAGATGTTACCATTTTACATGAAGTATCTGAATTAAGACATTAAAATATAATTCTAAATGTAAGTAGTAGTGATCATTTTCCCTACTGACACTCAAGAAAGGTTAGTAACTTATAATTCTACTGGGGTCTTAAGTGTGTTTATAAGAACCCACAGTAGATCTCAGTTCCATCTTCGAGTTTCCACATCAAGTGGAGCACCAGTGCCCTCTCAACCACTGCTACTGGCATCAGTCACGCTGTGCATCTTGGCATTCTCTGAGGCTTCAGAGTAAGTCATCTCTCTGTGACTCAAGGCTTAAAAGGAACTTCTCCTTATGATGTATGGAGCACTCATTTAAGTAACTGGTGATTCTCATATGAGCTTCTCAACTCCTTTTCATGGTGGGTGTGGGGGAAAGGAAGGCATTTTGGCCTGCTTCCATTTCTTTTTGGTTTAACTTCAGGAAAGCCGTTTCTACAGAATATCTGTAAAGTCTATAAATATTGATAATATTTTATTCTTTTACAGACTAAAGATGCTCAAGAAGCTTTGCCTATGACCTCAGTCTTTATGGACATATATATGTCCTTTACAAAACTCTGAGGCACTTTCAGTAGGTAGAGGGGAAGTTCCTGCTGAACACAGTGGCTCATGCCTTTCATCCCAGCACTTTGGGAGGATGAGGCAGGAGGAATGCTTGAGCCCAGGAGTTCAAGACCAGCCTGGGCAACATAGCGAGACCTTGTCTTTACAAAAATAAAACAGTTAGCTTAGTGTGGTGGCCCGTGCCTATAGTCCCAGCTACTTGGGAGTCTAAGTTGGGAGGATTGCCTGAGCCCAGGAGATCAAGGCTGCAGTGAGCCATGATTGTGTCATTGCCCTCCAGCCTGGGCAACAGAGAAAAACCCTTATTAAAAAAAAAAAAAAAAAGAAATTACCAGTAATGGTTATTTAATAAATAAAAAGAAACTCCAGGGGAAGTCTTTAAAGTTAGAAATACACACTTATCTGTCTGAAGTGGGCTGGAAAAACTGCTTCTGAGCTGACTGAAAGCATGAAAATTTTCTCATTTTTTATCTTGTATTTCTGCCTTGTATCCTAATTCTTTCCTTGGAAAGTAGCAGACCACAGTATAAACTCAACTGTGACGATCTGCTATTTAAGATTGTATAATTGTTTCCTTTAGCTATGAATACCAGAAAGCTCGGCTACATATCTGAACAGAATATAAGTAACACACTAGCGAATTCACCAAAATTGGAACAGCAGAACACTGCAAAGTTCTGAAATCAGGAAAGGATTCAACAGTCATGTGCCGATGGAACACAGTCTGGTGGCCTCTGACCATCCCTTTCCTATGTCAGCCCCATTGTTGTATGTGATTTATTGTAAACTGTTTCTGTGATTTCAGGATTCATGTAAAGTAACAAACATACCATAGCTTATGTACTCAGCATGTTTTCATGTAAAAAATTTTATAATCACAGAACAGCTGAGTATTAAATTAATCTTTTTCAGGGTATACAAAGATGTTCCAATTGTTAGTTTTTTGTTTTTGACTTGGGGTCTCATTCTGTCACCCAGGCTGGAGTACAGTGGTATGCTCACGGCCACCCCAATCGACTTGCTAAGCTCAGGTGATCCTTACATCTCAGCCATCCAAGTAGCTGGAACTACAGGTGCACTCTACCATGCCTGGCTAATTTTAATTTTTTTGTAGAGATTAGGTCTCACAGGCTGGTCTCAAACCCCTGGGCTCAGGCAATCCTCTCGCCTTGGCCTCTCAAAGTACTCGGATTACAGGCATCAGCCACCGTGCCCAGCCCAATTATCAGATTTTTAAACAGCTAAAGAATCAATTTAATTCTTTATTCTTTATCCCTATTCTGAATAGGGATGGGTACACATTATTTTGAAATTTAACACTTGTTTTGCAAAAAAGTTTCAAATTATATTTTATAAAAGAAACTGACATCCTGATTTTTCACTATGTTGTACTGCTTTAAAAATGTTTCTATGATTTATTCAGAAATATGAACCACACGCATACATTCAATTAATCTCACCAGCACACAGTGAGTGCTGCACCACTGATGCAAGTGAGTCACAGGAGCACCAGCCAAGTGGCGAGTAACTGGATGAGGGGCACAGGGTGAAAACTGGAGGGCTGGTGGGTCCTGAAGGTGACAGCACTGGAGTCAGAGTTTAAGAGAAGGGACATGGTGTGAGAATGTGGACAGTTAAAACAGAAGATTCTGGTGTATGATCTCATGAATATAAAGGGTCAACATGTTAGAGACCAACACCAGAATTTTCTTTTTAACTATAGCAACCTTCTCAGTGAATACAGATTATAACCACAACAGGTGTTTAAGCATAACCCCACCCAATTAACAAAATATGCTGCCTCAAATAATAATTTTAAGACTACTGAAGTGTTCTAAAATATTTATCAAGCTTATCAAAAATGTAGCCATACTACAAGTTCCTGTGAATTCTACATAGGGTCAACACAAAAATATATAAAAGCATACTTTTATATATTTTGAACTATTTTATGGAGGTAAAAAGTTATAGTTGCTATTGGAAAAATGAATAGGAAACATCTAACACAGAAATATATTAAAATGGTACATAAGTAATATATGCTTATATTTTTTACTTTATTATAAATAGAATAATATATAAAATTCATAGAAAGGTATATTAAAATATATTTTTATTTTCAACAAATCCCATTCTTATCTCTAAAGGTAATTGTTAATTGTTAATTGATACCCAAAGATGATAAACAGAAGCATCTTTTTAATTTTCAGTTAAAAAGTATAATCACTAAAAACAAAGATACACTTGTGAGTCAAGCACTGAGGAGCAGTTTCCTCAAAGCAGAGTACAGTGCAGAGCACAGCATGTTCATCCTAAGGGAAGCTCTCTGGTCCTGGGCCTCCATCAACAGCATAACTTCAGGGCTCTAACTACACTCCCTGCTTCCCTTCATGACTCCCAAATCTACCCTCAGCCAAGACTTCCTTCCCGACATAGACACTTACATCCAATCAACTACTGAATGTTAAGAAGATGTTCCGTGTCTTATACTATGCCCCTCCCCCTACACTTCAACCTGTTGTCATTACTTCAGTGATGGACACAGTGTCATCCTCCTGGTTGCCCAAATCAGAAACCTGGGCATCTTTTTATTTCTTTGAGTCAGGATCTCACTGTCATCCAGGCTGGAGTGCAATGGCATGATTAGAGCTCACTATAGCCTCAACCTCCTGGGCTTAGGCAATCCTTCCATCTCAGTCTCTCCAGTAGCTGGTAGAGGCACGTGCTACCATGCCCAGCTAATTTTTTGATTTTTTTTTTTTTTGGTAGAGATATGGTCTCACTACGTTGCCAAGGTTAGTCTCAAACTCCTGGGCTAAAGTGGTCCTCCCGGCTCAGTCTCCCAGTTCTGGGATTACAGGCATTTCATAAAATTAACATCCATTCATGAGAAAGAGGGAAAAAAACCAGCCTCATTGCAAACTAGGAATAGAACATCTTTAACAAGTTAAAGGATATCACAAAAAACCTACAGCCAAGGTGAGCAGGCCAAATCTGGCCCTCTGTCTTTTCAGTTAATCAGATTTTGCGACCACAGATACGCCCATTCATGTGTTGTCTTGGCTACTTTACAGTTTCAGAGTGGTTGTGACAGAGGCTGTAAGGCCTTTAGTGATATGAACAATCTGGCTCTCTACAGGAAAACCTTGAGGACTCCATCTTACAGGGAAAGTGTTACCAAAAGTCAGAATGTATCACTTTTAAAGAAGTACCTTAGAAATATTTGCTTGTAAAAAGTAAAAATATGATCTTACCTTTCGTAGGGTGTTAAAAAATGACCTGGAATTATTTTTAGAATTGGATTGCATTGCACTTTTAGTTAATTTAAACTCTCTTTCACACCTTGCCAATTCTTTTTTGAGCTTCTCTCTTCGTCGTTGGTCTGTATCTAAGAGAGAAAACAAATCTTTTAAAATATGGAACAAAATAAGAAAAGTTAATTTACAGGTCTTATTAGACTAATAAATGGAACATTTTTTCTTGCCAGAAATGTAGTGATATGTAAATAAAAATCCATATACTTTTCTGTATAAAGAGACACAAATATTTACTTCATAGAAACTTTAAATGGACTAATTATTTAAATAATGCAATCAAGATGTGACAAACTGCTCAATCCTAAAAGCTTAAGAGAGAAAGTCTCAGTCTGTAATCCTGCGCTTTGGGAGGCTGAGGTGAGTGGATTGCCCAAGTCCGTGGGTTCGAAATCTGCCTGGGCAACTTGGCGAGACCTCATCTTTACAATAAATCAAAAATTAGCCAGGTGTGGTAGCACGCGCCTGTAGTTCCAGCTACTTGG